CAGTCTCCACTACACGCAACCAGCAGCTGAAGTCCACCCGTACCAATCAACACCACGAGCCACTACCTACTCAACGACGTCCGTGAGTCCACCTTAATAACTTTATATTGTAAATCAATCCTTGCTAAACGTTTTTTCAACTGTACGTTGCTTTATGCAATTCACTCATATTAAAAGAAAATATTGTTCGAATAACTAATACAATGAAATTAATAAAAAAAATATTGATGATATAATAACTAAATCAACGAAAAATCTACGTGTTATTATTTTCATTACATTGGCCGCAGTACGTACTTGACCATGATTTTAGACGGTTCCTATCACAGAATATTCCGTGATAGTATACAGCCTTAAAGTACTGCGGTGAGCCAAGGCTATAACCACAATACTCTTCTCCGTCGGTCTCACCCACATATATATACAATAATTTTATTGTATACATCTGTGGTCTCACCTCCTATCAATGGTTACACCGACCGGCGACCGTTGCGACCGCCATATTATCTAGTTGTTGAATATATTATCTATGGCGACTGTCGACTTGTCGAGCGATCGACGGCACAGTCTCTTTCTCGTCAACTCCGATCCACGAACCGTACACCACACACTTCACGTTTCCGGCCCACGGTCTTGTCTTGCTCGCGTTTCAATCAAGAAACTTCAAATTGCTTAAGGTAAGTTTATTAAAACGTCGATACATTTAAAATAGTTAGGCATTTACAATATATTTACAGTATTATCATAGCTTACATTACTTTGATAAATACTGGTACCTACGTTTGATTACATTGTACATTATTGAAAATGATATATTTTATACTTTTTGATGTTGACCGAACTAGGTAGATACTTACATCTTACTACTTAGTACTTACGGCTGAACCCACTAAAAAAAATAATAATAATACTGTGTTATTATAATAGGTATTTGCTATGAAGTACAGGATTTTCAAGAGTGCGTCTTCGCTGTTAGGTCCTAAATCCTAATCAGCGTCTTGTATCGCTAGTCGCGACAACTTGATTGAAATTAATTTAATTAAAAGTTGTACTTGCAGAGTGGTTTTCATCTTACTAATGAAGTGAATAATCAAATATTATAATCAATTATTCATAATCAAATATTGAAGGAAGTAAGGTATATGCACTTTAGTAAATTAATAGTAATTTTTGCATGAACAAAGTGCATTTCTTATCTAAAAATTTAACTACAAAATAAGTACAGCGTCCCCTTGATACTATTAGTTATTGCCTTTAGATTTGATTTATATAAAAATAGTTGAATTCAGTTTAATTTATATTTGTTTTGTGACGGAGATACATGACATGGGTAAGGCATTCTCATGATATCAACATACTTACATACTACTTATTTACTTATTTCAGAGTAATTTTTCTCTTTTCATCCGCCCTAACAACATGCCACACTACACAGTTTAATTTCCTTGATACATAACAATCTAAACTGCTGAATTAGATAATAGATTTTTTCATATCAATAAATTGAAAAAAAAACTTAAAATTTAAAATTGAAGTTGATCGAATTGTAAATTTTCCAATTATTAGTAATACCTATTATAAATTGTAATCAAGTATAGGTATTACCTCTTTAGACTAATTTAGCCTATAGTCAGTATAAAATACTCATAAATATTAAATACTATTAATCTACCTATATAGTATTAATTGCTACTACATAATATTATAATCCAAGACTACTGTGTGTTGTATATCTTTGTGCAAACTGGTAATAGTAATGTGTATGTATGTTGACTACAGATATGCTTCAGGAGTCAAACTGTATACTCCTGGCATTTGAGCATTCATTATCAGCCTGAGTGTAAATTAAAAAAAAATAAGTGCATAATATTAGATTCTGAGCGGAGCGAGGGATCTAGTGGTTTTACAATGGTAGTTATTTATTTATTTATTTTTTTTATCCTGTATACAAAATTGCTACCAGAAGGAGTACTTCGATTTTAACATAGAATATCTTATATTTTAGCAAATTGGATCAAGGTGTACCACCTTTAGAGAGGACATTTTTCGATTTTCTCAATGTTATTTAGTGCCACAGGAAAAATTACCAACAAATTTACTACCATAGCAAAGACTAAAAAATAATAAAATTATAGTATTAATTCAACTTAAAGACTATAATAAATAATAATAATATAAAAAATCCAGACTGACAATTGAATCCATCTCCCCTCAGAATCGTTTTTCTTACACTACATATTATAATATAACATCATTGAATTCAAGTTTAATACAATCCATTATACAATGACCCACTTGTACCCTACTTTACAGCAGAGAGACATCCACTTACCACCTTTTTTATTATTCATGTTTTGTAATTAATCATTCTAAATAAAAACTAAATTTACAATTTGAAATGCAACACCTGCAAGAAATACACATATCCACTATTTGTGAACCATAGTTGAATATACATTTTATAATATTACTGTAAGGAAATTTGACTTTGATAGTACTTTTTATTTAATAGATTAACCTTCTAAACAATTTGTATTTATGCTTATTATTTATTTTAAAATCAATTTCATACACTGTTTTTAGTCTAAATTGTATCAAGAACCGGACTTAGTAAACGATATAATCGGCAATGCAAAATACAAAGGAAATTTTGGAACCCAGTCAATGTCACCAAGCCAAATATGAGTATAGGAAATCGTCGTATACGGAGATATATAAAGTACTACAAACCTTACACCAGTGAGTAGTAAATGATTTACTATTAACATCAAAAGATTACTTATTAAAAAATGTAGTTGACAAACTTTTTCTTATTAATTGTTTTAAATGTAAGTTTACTAACTCAATATGATTTATTATGAATTTATTTATATTTTATATATTTTTAATTTCTTAAGGTAAAGATTACGTATTTGAAGCATTAAGTTTTCATTTACTTAAGTCAGAAGAACTTATCACTATTCCACATAACATCCGAACAACATCTAGATAGTCTTTTGGTACACACGAAAATGAGTTGGAGTTGGCGTAATAAATAATTATATTTATGCTGTACGTTATATTGAAATATAATTTATTACTTTATTAGTAATTTCTGTTATATAGTAGGAATGTAGGTACTAACATTACATATATTATATTATAAATTCAAGGTTGGTGGTAATGATGGCAAAAGGCATTGAAACAGTGCAGAAGTTTTTGACTGCAGAACTCGATATTGGCGTACAATATCTAGTATGACTACTAGACGAGGTGGCCATGGGCTTGGAGTGCTGAATAATCTTTTATATGCGGTAAAATGTTTATAACTTAAAGATTTTAAATTTGTAATAGGTGCATTTGTTATAATTGTAATCTGAATAAACTAAGTTCCCAGAGGATAATCACGGAATACCCAAACTAAAAAATGTTATAACTTAAAATTTTAATAATAGACTAATTCAAATACTTGTTTAGTCCAATGATTTAATAACTACAGGGGAAACTGATTTTTTTCATTGACGACAAACTATAATATATAGTACATTATTAAAACTTTGTTTCTTTTTTTTTACCAGTTGTATGTATAATTTATTAATGTTCTTGTTAAAAAATAATCTTAATAATGTTATTAGTTAATTATATTGTTTATGTTTGAAAATAATAATACAAACTATGTAAAAGTAAAATTATGTATTGATTTTAAATTTATTATAATTGTTCAATTTATACAATATTCAATTTTATATAATATATTAACTATAAATAAATGTTTAAGTTCATAAATATATATTCAATCACTGTCATTGAAAAATGCTTTACTGTATTCCATTGATTTTACAATCAAGGGTTTTTTAATCTGCAATTAATGTATTAATTGAATTGTGTATTTTGTATAGGTTGGAGGTGGTAATTCAAAGAGTATAATAAACTCTGTTGAATGTTATCATCCCAGTCTTCATAAATGGATACCAATTGCAGACATGTGTGTACGTCGCTTTTTAGTGGATGTTGGAGTTTTGAATGGTGTACTGTATGTTGTGGATGGTCGGGATGGAGCTCAAGTTCGGAGGAGTGTTGAAGCATACAGACCAAATACAGGAGTTTGGTCTACTATTCCGCACATGCATTTTTGTCGATATAGTGCAGGTATGACTACTCGTTTCATAATTTTTAAAAATTGAAAATGAAACATATTTTTTTTTTAAATATATTTAATTTAAGTGTAACTTCTTAATATAGTGGTAGCTGTATTAGATGGTTTATTGTATGTCGTCGGTGATTACGACGGAGCTTCTAATTTGGATTCTGCAGAATGTTACAACCTTAAAACTAATACCTGGACCATGATCACAGCGTCAATGAATATCGCAAGGAGTTTTGTAGGAGCTATAGCCATTGATGTACCACAATATTTTAAAGCATTCAGTGATAACAGTGTATATACTCATTATTGCTCTCTGTTGTTGCATTAATTTGTTTTGTTTTATCTAACAGTTACTAGTGCAATTAATTTTATATTACTTATTGAGTGTTCTTGTTGCGGTGTACGTCGATTTGCATAATGATAATTGTATACTAATTTGGTAAATATTTTCATTGTTGCTTTTACTCAAGTCGTTGTGGACATCGATATTTGGTACGTGTTACCATTACTTTTTATCAATAGTTATTGGCCGTTTTATCATTACTAGCTGTGGCCTTACCAGCTGTTTCTTTTGGAGACTTAAACGGTGGTTCAAATTTTGTTATAATTTATATTTATATTTTAAAATGTTGAGCTTAATTTAATCGTATACGGTGTTCTTGAGTCTTCTTCACCAGATACCTCTGTAAGGATTGAGCATGACAAACTTACTATTTCTAAATCTCTCGGTTCGCTGGAAAGTGCTGTTCCTGAGAAATTTAAGTTAATTGGTAGATCGCGTGCTGAGTTTATACGTCCAGTAAAAATGATTTGTGAATCTAAAGATACTGCTTTTAACCTACTTTCTGCATATAATTCTGCTTAACGTTTGGGAATGCCTTTTCCTGTAGGTTTTCGGATGTCCAGGGATAGAACTTTCTTGCAGCGTAAGCTCTTGCGCTCATGCTACGAGGACCTTAAAAGGAGAGTCAAAAGTGGTAAAACAGGCCTGCGTATGATATTCGTAAACGGGTTCCCTACAGTTGGTTCATCTCTTTCAAACAACGAGGACAGTCGTTTCAACAGTCATGCCAGCCAATCCTAGCTTCTCCGCTGCACCATGATAAAATCTTAGGATTTTATCAAAATTGCCGTGGACTTCGAACCAAACTATCTAATTTAATTTGTAATATATCTGCTTTTAACCATTTATTTATTGTAATAACAGAGACCTGGTTAAATAATAATTTTAATGATAATGAACTTGGTTTATATAACTATAATATTTTTAGATGTGACAAGTGTACTAATACCAGTGTATTTTCTCAGGGTAGAGGCGTCCTCATTGGCATTCATAAAGACTATCCTGCATCTCTTATATCTGTCCCTGATCTAAATGTTGAACATGTTTTTGTTCGCTTTACGGTTGGTCAATCTAGGTGGTGTTTATTTTCCCCCTAACTCTTCTCTTATCCTTTATGAGTCACATATTAACTCTATCGATTACATAAGTAAGAGCTACCCTGCCCACGCATTTATTTTATGTGGTGACTACAATTTGCTGGAGATATCCTGGGACAATGACGACCATGGTCTAATTTTTTCTTCCTTAACACACTCTCGGATGCTTGCATCCCTGAAGCATTCGTTACCATTACCTGTAATTTAGTCTTTAACCCTTTCACTGCTATGTACTAAAATCAAAAGTACTTGCCCTGTGCTGAAGGTTTTTAGAAAAAAAAAAAAAAAAATTTTTATCACTTTGTACCGGAAAATATTTAATATCTCCTTGAATATTAGTGATATACTGATATCACAATTCTGATAACAATGTAGATAATAACACAACATGTAGATAATAACACAACCTATAACAAATTTCCCGCGTTTTTCTTTATAATTGTAAATTCGATTGCCCGCATATATGCGGGCATAGCATATCAAGAATGTTTTCTTCGCCCGCATATATGCGGGCATAGCAGTGAAAGGGTTAACAACTATGTATACCAATCTTTTAATTTGAAAACACAGGTAGATACCATTTACACTGATTTCAATAAGGCATTTGATTCAATTAATCACAATGCCCTAATCCAGGTCCTCAACTTATCTGGAATCGGTGAACCACTCCTGTCCTGGTTTTCGTCTTACCTCTCTTGCCGTTACCAATGGGTCAAATTGCTTGGAGTAAAATCCAATGTGTATCTTGCTACGTCCGGTGTTCCTCAAGGAGGTAGGTCACCTATCTCCGCTCCTGTTCTCTCTAATAGCCAGATTTTATATTTTGCAGATGATATTAAGCTCTTCTCTCGTATATCCTCCTTGGATGACTGTATTTTGTTACAGAGAGATTTTGATCACTTCACGGAGTGACCTTTGCCAGGATACAGTTCCCTGTCAAATATGCTTATCATCTCGGAACAACTGCTATTTCATGTTCTAACGGCCATGTTACTGATCTAGGATTTATTCTTAGTAGTGATCTTGAACTTAGACTTCATATTGAGCATATTTTTTGTAAGGCTTTTAAAACTCTGGGATTTGTGTTAAGATTATGTAGGGATTTCCGGTTAGTTCATGGTACATGGTGCTTTATTGTGCACTTGTTCGCCCTATTGTTGAGTATGGTGCCGTTATTTGGGATCCGCACGACCTAAATGACTCTCTTAGGCTTGAAAGGGTTCAGCGTAAATTTATGAGGTATGCTAGTTTTAGATTGAATATTCCCTGTGAACCCCACAACTATGGACCAGTTGCTTCTCAACTAGGGCTGGTTTCGCTGGCTGAGCGTAGACGGATCTCGGGCATTAAGTTCCTGAATAGTTTATTACAAGGTGATAATATTGACTCTCCCTATTTGCTTTCCTTAATTTGTTTTAGAGTTCCTCAACGTCTATCCCGATCTGTTGCTCCTTTTTATGTTCCATTCGCATCCACTAATTACCTTAAAAATGAGCCTATTTCACGTATGATGTCTAATGCCAATGTTGACCCTTCATTTCTTCTTTGCAAATAATTTACTGTATAGTTATTAATTTATTATTGCCGTAATTTGTACAATTAATGTGTAAATAGATATGTATAATGTGTATATATGTTCAAAGGGGTTATCCCGTTTATTTAATAAAATAAAATAAAGCTTGTTAGCATTCGTGATATTTTTTTTCTGCTTCAATATATTATAACAACTACATTCTTATATTATATCTTGGTATCTTTATTATTTTTCTGTTTATTTTATAGTTTTCGAATGTTTAGCTAAGAGATTTTTTCTACCTACAATAATAAAAATTGATAGCTAATGATAGGCCACCATATTATGTATAAATAGATACAGATTTGCTATAAATAAACAAAAAAAGTCCATTTTTGTGGGCTGATAAAATAATTTGTGTGAACATCATATTTGTAATCTTTCTCACTATTCCTCTTTTTAAGCGCAATATAAACATAACTATTCCTGTATTCAAAAATTTTTAAATTGTCTTCAAGAACACATTTGAGACCTGATTATGTATTTGTTAATTGTCATGTTAAATTTGTAATTAATCCAAATAACTTGTATTATCCAAACCATTCAAAAAAAAAATAAAAAAATTATAATATAATTATTTATAACTCTATTTAGATTGGGTAGGGAAAAAAATAATTTAAGAAGGTGAATTATAATTAATAATTATAAAATTAAATTGTTCTCAATTTTACATCACGAAAAATTACTATAAATAATGATTTATGTTTGCCAACAATTTTGATACTTTTTTTTTTTTTAGAATTTTATAAAAAGGTATGTTATAAGATAAAATTATTTAGCTCTTGTACATTAGGTATTTCAGTTAAAAGTATTAATGCATATTATACTAAACTTTAGTGGACCATATTATAGTTAATAACCTAGCAAACCAAATTGATCATTTGACTGTTAAAAATTCAAAATGTTCACAAAAAAAGCTTTACCAGAATCCATCAAAAAATATAATGGTTACCGTTTGAAAAATAAAGTCGATTTTATTATTGGGACAACTGCATGTATCTTTACCTAACCTTAGAACCTAACCTGCCACTCTCTGGTCGGCAAAACAGTGTCATCCATTCAGCCAGTGCACGCTCTCCTGCATTAATCTCAGTAACAACTTCCCAATACCAAATCCTGCTAACAACAACTAACAAATGGCAGACTTCTTTTGAAAAGCAGCAATCGGTTTGTTTTATTATAACGACTCACGTATTTAGAGTACCTACTTACTTTGTGTCACCTAGTTCTGCTACAGCATGTCCATACTCCATAGGCGGCTGCGGACAGGTAATATAAGCAATATACATAAAACATACATTATAACTCAGAAAAAATAAGCTTTTAATTTTTATGGTTTCATTCCATTGATCTACCATGTTATGGTTTTAATTAAATGGAACAATACATTTTTCTAGTAAGCACATTAAGTCTTAAATTTAAAGATATTACATTTTTATTTTAAACGTGATAGCATAATATTGGTCAGTGCAGTCTTACAATTACTAATTATTTCTGTTATATGATTTCTTATCATGTTAGAAACAATGTCCTTAAACCACACAAAGTCATCATTCATTTGATGGGAAATTTACCTTTTTTTATAATAATTTTAATCTGAAACTTAATATTAGGTATGTCTTTAAAAATTTAAACTTTTTTTACAAATTATAAACGAATAAAATATAGTTATAATATTAGGGTTTTGAGGCTATAGAAGTAATAAATAAATCACATCATCAATCAATCATCACATCACATGTGAAATGATTTCCTGTATTTTTTCCATGTTAGTCTGTAGGTTAAAGTACACACATTTTTATTCCAATATAAAACGAATATTTTTATATACCTATTTATTATTTTTGTAAAACTGTACTTAACCCACATAGATAACTACAACAGTATAACTTATAATTGTATATTAAGATTGATCTTATTACTGTGGTATCTTATTACCTATACTCTCTATAGCTATAAACAAAATATCTTAAACAAAATTATTTTTAAATTTGTATTAAATTATTATTTAAATAATATGAATAATTAATGATTAATATTAATTAAAACTATTTATAAGTTCAGAAAATACATTTTAATATGTGATGCATAGGTATAAATTATATTATGTTATTATATTAGGTACATTCTACACAAATACATAATACATTTAATGCTCTAAACTAAATATTGGATTTTATTTTTAAGAATTATTTTTATCAACATTTACACTTTAAATTTCATATTCCAATGCAGAAAATTGTTTTATATAACTAAAAATAGGTATAGCCCTTTTAGTTTTAAACGTTTGAGTGATATACTGGGCTATTCATTTAAAATTGAATACTCATTATTTCAAAAAGTGCAATTGTTTTTAATATCAAATATTTTTTTAATATTTTTTATTCTTCTAATTTTTAATTTTTTTTTAACGACAAAATAGAGATTTAATTTCATATTCCAAAGTAGAATATTTTTCTAAGTATTTCAATACATACAAATTTAATTTAGTGAGAGTAGTTTATGAGTTGTAAGTATTTAAGGTTTAGATAAGCGGAGTTGAGTTGAACGGGGCATAGGCGGAGCAAGAAGTATTGTTTAGTGTATGCAGAATCTAAATCAGCCCACCACAATTATGGGGAGGGGGTTTAGAGGGTTAATCCCTAAAATCGCTAAAATGTTTTTAATGGTCATTTTGTATTTAATAATAATTAAGATTTAAGTACCTATGTCATAAAGATATAACTGCATTACAGATAAAAAAAAAGGTGGGTAAGTGGATGTCGCTCTGCTGTACAGTAGGTTACAAGTGGGTCACTGTATAATGGATGCTATTAAATTTGAATTCAATGATACAATATCATTGTATAAGAAAAACGATTCTGAGCGAAGACGGTATGTCAGTCTAGGTTTAAGACAAATTATATACATATCTTTGGTATTGAAAAAAAAATTGACCTATAATAAATTCCAAATTAATCATATCACATTATCACAATACCTACTTATAACACGTTATACATCAACATCAATAACAAACCCTGATACTATCATAGATATATAATAGTACACTTTAGAAGTTTCAAGTAGGTACCCACGAATAAAATTATATAATCACAACAAAATAACTAGGTTTTTTAATATGTAATTTCGTCCAAATTTGAACATAAAATGACGATAAAAATAAACTGTGATTGTATATTTTTTAGATTTTTCGGTAAGGGAATTAACTACTTACGTGGAATCTTGTTTTAAATTTTCAATTCTTAGCTATAAAAACTGAACATTTTATAATTTATTAATTACGATGGTTAATAATTTTCGAGATTTTGAAAAATTCTGTCAAAATTCGATGTTTAAATGCTTATAAAAAAAAATTGTGCCTATTTTTTTTTTAATATTTTTCAACTGATATTGTTACAATATACCAGGAGCCTTGTATTAAATTTTTACACTTTTTGGCCCAACAGATAAAACTTTATTGATATTCATAGAAAAAAAAACTAAAAAAATTGTAAAATGAAAATATCCGTAAACAGCTCAAAAAGAGTCAAAATATTTTCAAAATTGTACGGTGTATAGGAAATGCTAATCTGAACATTCAGTGAAATTTTCATGTATCTATAGTTATTCGTTTTTGAATAATAAGAAAATAAGAAAATCGGTACATGAGAAATCGAGTGAATATCCAATGTTGTAAAAATTTATTTAAAATTTAAATTTCATACGCTCATAAAAATTTAATTTGACTGTCCGGTAGAGATTTTTTTATTGATGAAGGTAGACAAACTTATGAGTAATCTTGTATTACATTTTCAAATCTTAGATTTAAAAAGAAAAATTTTTATGAATTCTTAACTCAAAATAATTTGCTAATTTTCGTGATTTTTCCATATTTTGTCAATTTTTGAACTTTAAATGCTTATAAAAAAAACTGTGACTAACGATTTTTAATATTTTTCATCTGGCTTTGAAACAATATACTAGGAGCCTTCTTTTAAATTTTCTAGTTTTTTTAACCAACAAATAAAATTTTATTGATATTTCTAGAAAAAAAACTAAAAAAAAAATGGAAAATGAAAATGTCCCTAAACAGTACAAAATAAATCAAAATATTTTGAAAATGTTATCGTGTATAGAAAATGCAAATATAAACAACCAGTGAAAATTTCATGTATCTACGGTCATTTGTTAAGTTGACTACTTATCGTGTACACAGACACAAAAATAAAAAAATAAATAAATAAATAAAAAAACACACATCATTGTAAAATCAATACATTCATTGTTCCACTCAGAATCTAAAAACAAACACACATCATTGTAAAATCAATACATTCATTGTTTCACTCAGAATCTAAAATAATGTAAAAATTTATGTTTATAATATTAACATAAATAAAATTCACTCAAAAATATTACATAGATTCGTCTATTAAAATCTACTGCTATCTTGAAATCCTATATTACAGCATCAGCAACAACATTGACTGAAATTTCCTCTGCTACTGTTAATACCATCAAAGCATTTAATATTTCTTCCCTCACGATAGTTCTTAATTTTGCATTTAACTAGGGTCAATTTAGATAGAGACTTTGCACTAGTAGAACTTGGTACTAGGATCACTATAAACTTTTGAATGACATTAAAAATTTGGTTAATGTATTTATAATGATCATTAGACTTTAGCCAAATTAACCGATTATAGATTTAATTTAATAAATTAAATTAAATTTAAATTAAAGCAGCCTTTAGGGCGATTAGGGCATGCAGCTGCATATCCTGCACGTCCCAAGGCTCCACCTATGGTAAGGGGTTACCCCTCGAAATGTATGTCCACTACTACTCCGCTTGTCTAAACTTTAAATGCTTATGACTCATAAACTACTCGTCCTAAATTCAATTTTTATGTATCAAAATAATTCAAAACATATTCTGCGTTGGAATATGAAATTAAAACTCTATGTTGTCTTTCAAAAAAGTAAAAACTTATAAAATTATAAGGATAAAAAATATTTAAAAATATGATTGTTTAATAAAAACGTTGTATTTTTAACAACTTGAAACTATGTAAAAAAATATTTCCAAATATTTTTTGAAATAATGAGTGTTTCATGATAAAAGAGTCATCTTGTACCTATACTTTCCTATTCTCTTATCTATTATTTCTATACCTTTGAGTACCTTTATATGGATCTTATGAGTATTTTTTTTAAAATGTAAAATATATAGATTGCTAACTATTTTATACAGATAGATTGTTAGTGATAATAAAATTAATTATATTTTTTTTTTTGACAATTATTCATTATGATCCTGTGCACTTCTTTGCCCGTTAAATGTACCTACCAACTCTATTCTGACTCAAACTTTGTTCAATTCGTTATTTAATATTCGGTGTATGGTGTTCAAAATGTATCTTAACTTTTCTGTTGCCTGGAATAAAAATTCTGATTCGCAGCAGTATACTATCAGTAAATAACGTAAATTAATTTTACCATAATATTAAACTATATTATAATAGCTATAAAATAAAAACCAATTAAATGACATGACAAATACGTTTATTCATATAAATCTATACATCTAGGATTATGACAGTATAGCAAACTTTTTTTTATAGGTATATTTTTTTTACTAAGCTCAATATAATTTCTTCATTTAATCATTAATTTATTGAGAAGTTTTATTAATATGATTATTACTTAGATAGGTATGTATTGTATTAAAAATGTAAATAATTACTTCTGTATTTGTAATTTTTATTTATTTTAATACCTATACTATAATCAAATAAGATTCATTTAACCTATGCTTAATTAGTAATTTAGTATAAATCTTTATTCTTATAAGTGAATAGTTATATGCTCAAAATTCAAATTAATAATATACATTACATTATAACACCTATAGAAGTTTTGTTATAACTTAAGATATTTATTTTGTATGTCCTTAGTATTTTGTTTTTTTAAATATTATGTAAATTTTTATGAAATTATTTTTAAATTGAAATACAGCAGACTATTTATATTTAGTTTTTATAATATTATGTTAGTTCATAGTTATAATATTGTTTTATTTTTCATAAAATGTTATGCTTTATATAATTATTTAATATACATATTATTAATGCATATTTTATAATCTAAAATATCTAATAATATGTTGTTTATTTTTATTAGCATAGGTAACTAAATAAAATACTAATATTTAAGAAATATAAACAGTATGGTTATTAATTTATTATAATAGTTCCTTTCTAAAAATCTGGAAGCTTAAATGCTTTAGTAACTTATCTAAAAAAAAACATAAACTCTTTATCCAATTTAAACTTAAAATATTTTATAAGAAAGGTAAACCACTAAACGATTATTGAGATGCAATTTGAAACGCCAGGATATAAAACTGCTAAGATGTTGCCGGTAGAATTATTTAACTCAAACCTCAATATCATTTTCATAGACTTTTAACAGATTGGCTCATTACTTATTTCACAGAGTTTCAGTTGTGTAATTAAATATAGCAACAGTAATGTAAATTAATATTTAAAAATTTTAATTGTTTTTATCTAGATTTATCGTGACCATGTAATATATACCTTATAGTATATCAATTACAATAGCTATTAGTTTAAAATGTTTACAGGTTGTATAAAGGGTTTACTAATGTCTACTGTATAAGTTACAAATTAGACTACTGAGACCATACATGAGTGGTGCCCAGTGTTCATATTTCCGATAAATAAATAAATAGTACAATTTTATCTTTTATCTAATTAGTATACAATTTATATTATCATTTGTAAGGTAGAACCATACTAGCTCCAAACTTTCAAATTAAGAAGTCAATTATAATAAAATTATGGAAGTTTAGAATAAATATGTAATATTAGATATAAATTGTATTTAAGTTGTATTTATGTATGATACGTTATTATTGTTTTATGAGAAAACCTTTTTTATAAATGGTAGAAATAATTCCAATTTAACAATGTATTTAAAGATATGGATACTTATACAGTATACGGTACACAACTGTGTTAAGAGGTTGATACACCCGCATGTGTTCTCTCTGTCTTGCAAACGCATAATATAGCAAATTGAAAGCTCAGCATATCACGTTTACTCTGTTAGTTTAAAAATTTGAGTTAATTGACATCTTATAAAATTTAAAGGCAAGATTATTATCTAGTGAATCTCTTATGTTTTTTTTTAGAATATAATTTTAAAGCAAGTTATCAGTATTTTAAAATGCACAAACAATTTACAATTTTAAAATACTCATAACTTGCTTTAAAATTAAGAAATAAAAAAACCTTAGAAGATTCACTAGATAATAATCTTACTTTTAATTTGTATAAGACATCAAATCACACTAATTTTTAAACTTACACAGCTAAACGTGATCTGCTGAGAGTACAATTTGCTGTTTTATGCGTTTGTAAGACAGAGGGAAAGCATAGTTGTGTAGCACACTCTTAATATAGAATTTATTAAACTACAGAATAGGAGTCCAAATTGCCTGCACGCATTAATCTAAAAATTAATTCATCGGACATATTATGTATGGATGTAAGAATGTGAAATGGAAGGTGTTAATGGGTTTGGCGAAGATGAACTTTCAAATATCGGGTATCATTATTATTGATTAATTATGTTGAGCTGTATAAAAATGAATATTATATACATAACAATTACATTAAAAGGTAGTTAATACATTTTTAAAAGTACTTAAATATAAAAACTAAGCTTATAATCATTCCACATATTTACTTCCATACCTTATTACAATTATAATTCTTTACACTTGTTCACTTTTAGATTTTGAAAGTAGTGTAGAAATGTGGCAGTCTTGGTACTGTGGTATCCATTTATTGAGCATTTCAAATAACAACTTTTCTTGTTTTTGAGCCATTGCATAATATGGATCTGAAGCCTAAAAATATATTAAATTACATGAGATACCTACATAGTTAATTAATTTAAATAATATAATATTAACAATAAAAGGGTTAAAATCTTTATTTTTTTCAATTTAAAATAATACAATTTATAATAATTATCAGTTACATCTAAAATCCAATATATATCTTCAATTTCATACAATGGTTTTTAGAATTACAATTTTGTTGATTTGCAGTACTTACATGGTAATAGTACAAAGAGTTTGAATATATTCTTTTAATATCACATATTACTTCGTAGAACGATGTATAGCAATTGCTCTCGGATGATAATCGTTCTTTTACAGTGTTTAATGATACTGGTCTATGAACCACTTTATAGTAATGGGGATCCTAAAAATGACATACAAATAATACAATCATCCTCATAGTAATATTCAGCATATCGGCAGAAACATATAGGTAGAAGTTTGAGAGTAGGTACAGGTAATAAAAACTCACACTATATTTAAATGGAATCTCCAAAAACTGAAAACTGTTTTTCTCATCGCCAATCAACTCTAATAATATGCGTGATGCCATAATCATTTCGTTCTTATTGAGAATTTTTTTATTGGAATCACTCGTTGTTTCACTTATGACTTTTGATATATCATCTATGTTAACGCACATTGTACATATCCAAGATTCATAGGACGCTCTAAAAAATATGTTATGCATTATACTATTGTAGTGTGTTTCAAGAGTAAAGGATTAATATATGAAAATAAATTAAGCATAAATTATTACAAATCTGTATATGACATGCTGATAGGAGGAATATGGCAATTATTGTGATAGGACCTTTTACAAGCCGAACAATATATTAATTGGTGATCCCAATCTGTACAGCCCGAACACTTCTTATATCCTTGACGATCAAGATCGTCATCATCACTGGAACTTGAATCAGAATTTTCATAATTCATTCTAAAAGTTCTCATAAATTGCCTAGAAAAATAAACAATTAGGTAGAGTATAATATGGTTAAAATTTAAGTTTATGATATACCACTTTTACAATGACAATAGAAGTGCTTATACCTTTCCAGTTGCATAATTTATTATTATTCATTAGGATCAATAGGTTCTAATTTTAATGATTAAGTAGTGATCCCGGTAGGCACGTTAATCCCGAGTTATGAGAGCAAGTACCTACCTTGAGGTTTAATAATTTAATACTAAAGCTTACTTACCTGTGCACTTGTTCGTGGTTTGATGCCATTTTATTGCGAGTTTCAGAAAGCAGGTGTCGATGGTTTCAGTAGATTAATAACGAGGAAATAGCTTCTTAAATTCCTGTTAAGCGATAATTCAATACTTGTACAGTTATAACTAATAACATAATAACGTGATATCGACGTAGTCACTGGACAGTCTGTCGCGAAGCCGGCACCCAATAATAAGAAGATAAGAATCGCTGACAATGTTCGCAATGTTTAAATAATATAATATTATTTTATAATATTTTATTGTAATAACCACGGTGCAATTATCTAGCAATAACTAATTAACTGGATTCATTTTGTATAATATATCACTTGACTACGTGACGCATACACCGACAAACGACAGTTGATCTATTTTGTCATGGTTATATCAGTTATAATAATATACTCTGACACTCTGTTCACTCTTTAAGAATATACCACCATAGAACAATACCACTCGGCCGACAAAAGCCATAGACCTATTGACAGACCTGTTAATATAGGAACAAGTAGTCTGATAACGAATATGTGATAAGAATTACGAACGGTCCAAACAAACTGTTATAAATTACAGTAATAATTACTAATTACACAGGCAAGAAATAATTTGAACCAGATATTCATTTTCAAAATATTTCTGTTCAATTCTCAGCCTAATGAGTAATGACCATTCATTATTTAAAATATACATGATTTTACAAATTTTAATTCAAGGATGAATGCGGCAATATAGACTTTATAAGAAACAAAAATCTAAAGCTTATGACAATCGTAAACTACCTATTACATTTATGGAACCAGTATCGAAAAAAAAGTGGAGATTGGGTACCGGCGTACCGCTATGCTGTACAGTAGTTGTTGTCAAGTAGGTACCTATGTCATTGTAATGAATGTATTGGACTTGAATTCGCAATGATAAATTATTACATACAAAAAATGATTTTGACTATGTGTCATCCTATGCATCCGGCAACGAGCGCCGGAGTGCCGGTCGGTGTACCCATTGTTAGGCGGTGTGGGGAAGAGTATTGTGGTTAAGCCTTGGCTCACCGTGGTACTTTAAAGCTATATTATACTATCACGGAATATTCTGTGATAGGAACCATCTAAAATCATTGTCATGTTTAAGCTAAGTAGGTACCGCTGGAAAAAGTTATGTGTTCAAATAGTAATGTAATCGAAAAATTATTTGTTCGAAAAATATATGTTCGAAAAGTTGTATATTATACGAAATATTATTAGGTATTTTATTTTTAAACGTAAATTTTATCGACGTAGGTACCCAATTAATATCGATGAATAAAAGTAATAAAGACAATAGATAGTAGATAACATTGCTTATTAGTAATGACTATTGTGGTGTGGTATAGTATACAACAAAACGCGATTGTAGTCTGTACTGAAGCTTAGTTTGTTGCGAATTTAATACGTTTTATGTAATTTGTCTTTTTATTTGAATAAAATGTGTTCTATAGAAATTATAAAAAGTATACACGGAGGTAAAGTATTAAGTGTAAATAATTTTTATACATATTAAATAAAAATTATAAAAGAAAACGCGATACCGAAACGTTTTTTACTGGACATGTTCAACTAAATGTGGAGTAAAAATTTGTACTGTTGAAACATCGAACAGAGAACACGAAATCGACGAGTTTTCTACATTTTCAGAAGATCAACACTCTCACACAGCGGACCCAATTGCTATTGAAGCAAAACAAATTAAAGAAAATATTAGCAAGCATTAACATCAAATGTGGAAAAACCAATTCAAATATTCCATGCAGCTATATCGGGTACTACAAAAACTATTTCATCGCATATTACTAAAGAATAAGCAAAACAAATTGTCAAACGTCAACGTCGTATTAACCTAAATCAAAACGAACCCGAAACAATTCAATCAATAGATCCTCCACAGTCATTATGTTCAACATTATCTGGAGAATAATTTTTAGTTAAAAAAACCCGAATCTGTTTTATTGTTTACAACAAATATAAAGGTGGTCATCAAATAAAGAAAAAGAAATATGGTATGGACCGCAATATGAGATTGCAATCAATTCAACAGCGAATAATCGACAATCCTAAATTTTGTAAATTGGAGTTTTTAAAAGCAATTGCATATAATTTAAGTTTTTAATTATTGATTTATAACTGCATAGGTATACTTTACTTTTATTTATTAGGAGTTTTTAAAAGCAATTGCATATAATTTAAGTTTTTAACTATTGATTTATAACTGCATAGGTAGGTATATTTTTCCAAATATTTTTTTTTTAATTTTATGTTTATTAATTTTTATAATATTAGATAGCTTTTTAATTTAAATAAATAATTTTCGTACATACAACTTTTCGAACATATATTTTTCGAACAAATCATTTTTCGATTAGGTACATTACTATTCGAACAAAGTAAAATGCCTTGATTGCAACTGCTGCTTTTACCGTATACGGCCCAGCATCACTCAAAAATAAAAGAACCGAGTCATGTTGTATACCTTGAGGCCATAGTAAATTTAAAGATTTATAGAATAGTTTTGAAATAGTGAAGTAATTTGCCTTTTCTAAAACTTCAGAATTTAATAACATCGTTGTACCTGGGCCATCAGTTTCTAAAGTTTCGATGACGACATTGGCGACATATCGCCCTTCAACATCCGTAGTTTCGTCGACAGACAACCACACATTTTTCCTTCGGTTTCACTACGAATTTTATTCATTGTATCAATATAGCAATCGTATAAGTAGGTAATTCTTACGAAACGTCGATTCATCTGGTATTATTTTAGTAGTATATTTTTCCAAAAACGATTTGAAATATATATTATTGAGTTTTTTAGCGGAATATTTGCCGAAACCAATGCTTTGCATAAATCTGCAGAAAATTAATCTTTATTCAGTGTTGCAGTATTAGTGAATAAACTTTGAAAATTGCGTTGTTTATTCTGTAGAAAATTCACAGATTTTAAATGTTTTTCAGTTTTAATATGTTGTGTTAATGAATACCGTTTATCGTGGGAAACTTTAACTTCACATAATTTGCACAGTATGATTTGGTCATCGGTTGAAAAAATATTCTCCCGCACATAATTACGAAGACGACTCGATAACGACAATTTATCTTTTGGCATTTTGAAAAAAATAAAATAATAAAAACGCGACTTACGACACGAGCACACACGAACGCACTGCTGTAGTTAATATTGTAACGCAACTGAATAGTGAAATAATGTCAATTGTCAATCGACAATCATGGTCGTAATCGATATTTTCTTATCTAAGTACGTATACGTATTTTATTTCGCCAATTATTGATCTAAGGTCATATTTGGGAAAACCGTTTATACCTACAAGTATACCTCTTAATTTATTTTGATATTAATTAAATTTATAAAAATATAATATTTTTTTTCTTATATTATAATACAATATGTTTTAAATATGTCTAAAAAAACAAAAAAACATCGAAATATGCACTAAAAGAAGAAATAAGATATTAAAATTGTAAAATAAGCCCTTAAAATAGAAAAATGTCAAAATATGCAAAAATATGCGCTAAAAAAGTTTCATCTTTAAATTGTTATGTCATGAAACAGATTTTGTGCTCACTTAGCATATCATACGATCAACCAGAATAAATATGCAAATGCATACAAATCCGCACTCTAGTAATATATATCTACATAACTATTTATGTTTACGATCCTAACTCCAAAAATTGTACGTGCAAGATACGCAGTAGGCCCACCTCCCCCTTCCAACCTAAAATAAACAACTAATTCTGGTTGTAATAGTTGTGTGGTGTCATTAAAAAAAAAAAAGCACCCGAGGAACTCGCTCTGCTGTACAACATGTTGCTAGAACGGATACGTTAAATTTGAATTCAATGGGATATAAAATCAGTGTATAGTATATACCTACGCAAACGAATCTGTGCAAAGACTGTCTGTCAGCCTATGTATAATTATATACTAACTACTAAGAATATTTTATGATTTTATTGTGATTAATGTAATTTATTTAACTATTAGACATTATAGTGAGAATTACAGTAGGTAAAATTAATTTTTGGTGAAAATTTGCATTTGAAAATGTTATTGTGTGTATACAATTTCATTATACCTATAGGTACTTTAAAAGTTTCAAGTACTCGAGAATAATATTTTTAATAACAACAAAATAAGTTATAAGTGTTATAACCATTAAATCGTTATTCTTCGTTTAAATATCTAATTTCGTCCAAATTTGAAATTAAAATGTCTATAACAAAAAAACTATGTTTATATTACCTATATTATTTAGATTTGTTGGTAGCAGTATGAACTAGTTATGAAAATATATGTTTTAAATTTGCAATCTTTAGCTATACAAATTTAACATTTTTAACTTTAAAATAAATTGTGAATAATAACAATGATAATTAATAATATGTAAAGTGTTTCTAATGTTTATTTTTTTAGAGTTGCATCAAAAACCAAAATCGATTTTGAGTAAACATTCTCGTTTTTCTTTATTTTTTTTCCCCGGCGCTTTATAAAATTACTGGGAATTTTTAATTTTGATCTCCCAAGTGCACCAACCAAAATATATTTTCACAAGAAACAATACCTATATGTTCTAAAGTTGAAAATTGAAACATTATTTTTGACTACTAATTGAGTATACAGACACAAAAAATGAGAAAAAACCCATAGGTACATCCTGAATTATTGTAAATTTATTATTTAAATATAATAAAAATTAGTTTTATCTACTGTATTATCTAGATTCTAGATATTTGGTATGTGTCCAGAACTCTTGACAAATAGATATATAATTATCTGTATCTTATCTAAATTAAATGTTTTTTATCTATTCTCAACACTGCGTACACCATTATAAAATCAATAGAATGATCGCTGTGGTTAGACTCTAAAATAGTGAAGCACTGATATCGACAGTATATTTTAGATATAGGTATATTTTGTAATTATGTCTCGGACCGTTGACGTGTATATTACTTACCAATG